AACCAACTCTTTGTTTTATTGATTCTTTGTATTGTTCTCTTTGTTGCTATTTTATTGATTTCAGCCCTGAGTTTGATTATTTCTTGCAGTCTACTCCTCTTGGGTGTGAACCAAAAATAATAAAATGTCAAACATTTATTGTTTTCTCCAAGGGTCCATGGAAGAGTTTAACAACCAGCTGAGGATTCTAATCTGAGGGATATCCAATGAATGTAAGCACACTGAGTTCTCTAGTCCATTCACTTTATTCTTCTAAGTAAAATTCTATCTACACAACTTCTTTTCTATTCTCATTCTTAGCTCCTCTCAGTCTCTCCTGCTCTCAGTCCCTTCTGCTGTTCTCTCATCTCTATCTAGTTCTTTCCATCTCTGTCCTCATCCTTGTTCTTCTCAATCAATTCCCTTTCTGATGTTCTCTCCTGCTCTCAGTCTCATCTGCTGTTCTCTCATCTCTCTTTAGTTCTTTCCATCTCTGTCCTCATCCTTGTTCTTCTCAATCAATTCCCTTTCTGATGTTCTCTCCTATCATCTAGTTTTTTCCATCTCCCCCTGCTCTTTGTTCTTCCAAGCACATGTATATCCATTCATTAACAACTTGTTAGTACAAACTACAAAGTAAACTCTTACGGACAAGCATTCTGATAAGAATCACACTTGGCCAAGACTTGGTCAGCTTAATTGGTGATTGACAAAAGCTGTAGGTTGTAAAAAGTTCTGACTTTCTCTTAAAGGGATAACTACAAGGGAAGAAATTAAACCAGTGAGAGATTTAAGGAAAAGGCAAAGAATACGTGTACTATTTTATGTGGTGAATAATATCCAGACATGGTTAGTCAGTTAACAGCCTTTTTTTTTTGTTAGTCACCTGAATCTCAGGACCTATACATAATTAATCTACTGAGCCTAAAATCTTGCATTAAAAACTGGTGTAGAAATAAAACAAAGTTTTAATTGTTATTTGAAGCAGAGTGGGGAGGTGCTAGTGGAGGAAGTTTAGGGCAACACAGGTGCTATTGATTTCTTGAAGGACTAAGATATACCAAGGCCAGACACCTGCACTATCACTTCTAGTTCGCTATAATTATTCTGAAGGGTTTTGATCTAACAAGGCCAGGCACCTGCAATTCCACTCGGTGAAAGTTCTATGAAGACACTTTGGCCAATATTTACCTTGTCAGTGGCTAAGGATGGAGAGCAAGACCTCTAAGTGTCTACAGTCCACATAAAACAATAGCTCTAGTATGAAGCATATTTTAGTATGTTTCTATTCACAAAAATTGTACAGTTAAATGAGAAACCATCTTCTAGACTATCCACAATTATGTGTGCCCTTAAGATTGAGATGCAATCAGGGCTGGTTAGGTGGCTCAGAGGTTAAGAGCAGTGGCTGTTCTTCCAGAGGTCTTGAATTCAATTCCCAGCAACCACAAGGTGGCTCACAACCATCAATAATGAGATCTGGTGCCCTCTTCTGGCCTGCAGGCAACATGCAGGAGGAATATTGTATACATAATAAATACATAAATCTTTTTTAAAAAAGATTGAGATGCAATCATGAGATTGCATGTACACATAACATGGAAATGCATGGTAAATCATAGCTGTTATTGCACAAGAAGTTTACAAGAAACAGCTAGTTCATTCAAAAAGCAGTAATTCTTTAATGCCTTGTGTGATGATTTCCTCTAACAGAATCCTTAGTTCTGATAGGTTGACCTTCTGAACTCTAGTTGGCACTGCTGTATACTCCATTGTCTTTTGTCACCAGCAGCTCTCAATAGGTGTGAGTTCTTCTTTTTCTTCTAGAGCTTTCAGGTGTGCTAAGTCACTAGTGTGAGATTTCTCCAAATTCTTTATGCAGGTACTTAGTGCTATGAACTTTCCTTTCAGTACTTCTTTAATAGTGCCCCCTAAGTTTGTAGTTTCAAGTTCGTCCCCTAATGGTGTATATTGATTTTCACTGAATTCTAGAAGTCTTTAATTTCTTCTCTGACTCAGTGGCAATTCATTTGAGACTTGTTCAGTTTCCATGAATTTGTAGGCTTTCTATAGTTTATGGTGTTGTTGAACTCTAACTTTAAGCCATGGTGATTCAATAAGATACAGGAAGTTATTCCATTTTTTTTGTATCTGTTGAGATTTGCCTTGTGACCAAGTACATGGTCAGTTTTAGATAAGATTCCATGAACTGCTGAGAAGAAAGTACATTCTTTTGTGTTTGGGTGAAATGTTCTGTAGATGTCTGTTAAGTTCATTTGATTCATAACATCTGTTAGTTCTTATTTCTCTGTTTAGTTTCTGTCTGGCAGACTTGTCTGTAGGTGAGAGTGGGGTGTTGAAGTCTTCCACTATTAATGTGTGGGGTTTGATGTATGATTTAAGCTTTAGTAATGTTTCTTTTACAATGTGGGTGCCCTTGTATTTGGGGCATAGATGTTCAGTATTGAGACTTCATCTTGGTGGGTTTTTCCTTTGGTGAATATGAAATGTCCTCTGCATCTCCTTTTTTAAATTTTAGTTTGAAGTCTATTTTGTTAGATATGAGGATAGCTACCCCAGCTCACTTCTTAGGTCCATTTGATTGGAAAATCTTTTTCTCAAACATTTACTCTGAAGTAATGTCTGTCTTTGAGGTTGAGCTGTGTTTCTTATATGCAGCAGAAGGCTGGATCCTGTTTTTTTTTTTTTTCATTTTTAAAAATCTATTCTGTTAGCCTGTGTCATTGGTGAACCGAGTCCACTGATGCTAAGAGATATTAATGACCAGTGATTGCTAATTCCTGTTATTTTTTTGGTTTGAGTGGTGGTGGTAGTAGTGTGTGTGTATGTGTGTGTGGTTGTATTTCCCTTCTTTGGGTTTTGCTAGTATGAGATTATCTATTGACTGTGTTTTCATGGGTGCAGATAACTTCCTTGGGTTGGAGTGTTCCTTCTAGTACTTTCTAGTACAGTGTAGGGCTGGATTTATGGATAGGTTTTATTTAAATTTGGTTTTGTCATGAAATATCTTATTTTCTCTGTCTATGGTGACTGGAAGTTTTGGTGGGTATAGTAGTCTGGGTTGGCATTTGTGGTCTCTTAGCGTCTGCAAAATGTCTGTTCAAGACCTGCCTTTTAGAGTCTCCACAGAGAAGTTGGGGTATAATTCTGAGAGGTCTGCATTTTTGTTACTTGGCCTTTTTCCTTTGCAGCTCTTAATATTTTCTCTTCATTCCATATGCCTAGTATTTTGATTATTATGTGGCAAGGGACCCTTTTTTATTTTTATTTTTATTTTTTATATTTGATGTTCTGTAAGCACCTGTACCTTTATAGGCATGTCCTTCTTTAGGTTGGAAAAGCTTTCTTCTCACTTGCTGGCCAGCTGCTGGGGACTGCCACACCTTTTATTTTTAATTCAGACATGTTTTCTTGAATTGCAATGCTTAAATTTTATGTTTTTCCACTACTTTAGTGTTTATTTCAAAGCTTCCTGTAATTTGTAGTTGAATTTCTTTATCTCTAGTATTAGTCACTTCCTCTAAATTATTCTCTCCTTATTATCATATACATATCCCTCCTTTTATTTTTATTAAGATTTTATTTGTTCTTTTATTATATTCTATATTTTTGCTATTTCTCATTTTTCCAAATGAGTTTCCACTTATTCCTCATCGCTCAGTTCTGCCATCTCATTGTTGAGTATCTTGCTCTTAATGTGATATCATTTTGAAACATCTTTTAGTTTATTTTTTAAATGCTATAGAACGGTTTTAATCTATTTCATGGATATATCTATCTGGTATATTTTACCAGTCCTTGGAACAACTGTTTAGTTTTAATTTTTTCTTTTTTTTCTTGTAGTAATTATGTGTAGGAATATTGGTCTCAATACCTGTATGCCAATTTTATTGACAATTAGTTTTCCTGGATTTTAGGAATTGTAATTCAGAGTACATTTCCAACTGAACCTAACCTCTGTTGTTTTTATGTAGTATACAGAGTTATAGGGAGTTGACCTCTAAAATCTCCTACCTGTTTTCTTTTTAATTTTTATTTTTGCCTTTTTCCTTTGGTCCCATTGTTTCCATCTCTTTCATATTTGATTCAAATTCCAACAAGTTCTTTTTAGTGTTGAGCTGGCCTTTGTAGAAATCTCTGCTCAGTGCCCAAAAGGTGTTATGCTCAAATTATTTCACACTTTACTATAGATCCCTCATACTCCTTAATTCTTGGAGTGTTCACTGACTCCATTTTCATTTTCCATAGATCTCAGTCTTGTTTTGTTTTGTTCTTTCTATGAGAGTAAGAAGTTCCTAAAGACCATTTCCCCGCTGCCCATCTTCCTAGAGTCTTACCTTGCATTTTTAAGATAAAATGTATTTGAGATAAAATATACTGGCTTAAGTTCCATCTCAAGAAAAGTTTAAAATGGTTGTCTCATTATTTCTGTGAATCCTTGGAGTTTGTGTATTGCCATTAGAGTTCTCAAAACATAAAATTATCTGAAAATAAACTGGAAAACAGGAGGATTTCTTGTTCGGAGGACCACATTCAGAGACATTCTTGCTGAATTCCTGCCATGGTGTGGACTGTCTGCAAGCTGTTTCTGACATGAGAGAACAATGCCATGGATTCTCATTTGATAGGCAGGATGAGTAGTCATGCTTCCATTGTAATCTAGAACCATCATGTTAAAATTGAAGCTAATATTTTAATGTACATATTTATAGGGTACATCATGATAATTTAATGACGTAATAGTTCAATCAGAATATCAGGATTTCAGCATCTTTATACATTTTAAACGCTTTGTTATGTAGCAATTGTACATATTTGTAGTGAATCATCAGATTCCATCTTTCAACATAGAAGCATGATCATGATTTTAAAATTATTTTCCTTAAGTAGGAAAATATAATGTATCCCATCTAACACATAACAGTTAAAGACAGTGAAATTTCATTTTCATGTTCATAATCCTATGAGATGGGAAGGTTTTAATATTATTGATATAACATTTGAAAGTAATCAGTGATTCATCATTTTTATGATACCCCCACAAATTTTTCTCACAGTGTTAGTATTTTAGACGAATAAATCCCCGTGATTGACTTAAGTGATATATAGACAATCTTAGTAATGAGTCATTGCTTCACATCCTGAATGATTAAAAAATACCATGAAACAACAGTTGCCTGGATTTCCAAACCTAGCAAGATTGAGAGACATTCTTAAAATAGATGTGATCAGCACTATGGAACCTAATTAAACATATTTCTGCGAGGAGGTAAAAATGTCATTAAATTGGCTCTGGTATTATTTTAATTAGTCATTCAAGTCACTTACCAAAGCTGAGCCAAAAGTTTAAGCATTAATAAGATAACTAATAATACAGCTTCCAGTTTCCAAAGATATCTTTTCCTCTTTGGCTTACCATCAATTTTGTTGAGAAGCAGTTCATAGAACCCATCCCTTTTTTCTGTCCTGAAAACTCAGGCCGCTGTCCTGCTTTCCTATTCTGTCACAATTCTGGTTCACTTGACTTTGGTTGGAAAGTTCCATAGATCATTCGTTTAGGAGAAACATGGTTCAACATTTCAATCTCTTCTCAAATGAGAGAAATCTGTCATACTTGTTCCATGCTGGTTGAAAGAAGTTATCACATGTGTTCTGAGGTATAACTTGGAAACAAGTGCTAAAACAGTCACAAAAGTCATATGCTCTTAAAGTCAGTGAGCCCACTTCTGGGAGTCCATATTTTTGTAAAGACAATGAGGGCTGTGCTCAAAATTCTATGTGAGAAGGTCATTCTTACAGCAATTTTGTCATGGTGGAAGACTAGAAGCTACCGTTTTCTATCATTAGTAGAAGAATATCAGTGTAGCATGAATCTTAAAAGTTCTTATTAATAAAATCAAACCTGAGCCAGGTATGGGGTGAATGCTGGAAGATCAGAGAAGCAGAACAAGCCACAGCTACCTCACCTTGCCAGTTCCTCAGCTGATCCTGTTTCCTCAGACTGGAAGCCTCTGTGTTTTCATCTGTATGGATCTCAGCTGAACTGCTGCTCAAAAGCCTAAAAGCTTAACCAGCCAAATGCTTCTAGTTTCTGGTCCTCACACCTTATATATCTTTCTGCTTTCTGCCTCACTCCCTGGGATTAAAGGCTCACTTTCTGGGATTAAAGGCGTGAGTCACCATGCCTGGCTGTTTCCAATGTGGCCTTGAACTCACAGAGATCCAGAGGGATGTCTACCTCTGAAATGCTAGGATTAAAGGTGTGAGTGATGCCATTTTCTAGCCTTTGTATCTAGTGGCTGTTCTGTCTCTGACCCCAGATAAGTTTATTAGGGTGCACAATATTTTGGGGAACACAATACCACTGCATATCAGCTCTAGGCAAATTTTTCACTTAGAATCTCATGAAGGCATGCAACATCATTTTAGGAATACTAAAAACTAGGAAAGAGTTGCTACACTTAATTTTTCAAAATCAAGTTATAAAATTAGATATAAATACAACTCTAAATTGCTTAGAGCACATGCACTTAATGCCCATAAATAAGTGTGTATGTGTGTGTATT